GCTGTGTGAGTTTTCGAATTTTTGAGTTGTCATAGCTTTGTTAATGATGAATATTTTTTCATGAAATTTTGGTCACACCTGTTTAGAGGCACTCTGAATCCAGTGGCGTAGTGATTTTTTCAATAAAAAAATCGCTAATAAAAAATCCCGATTTTCGACTAAGAAAAAATATCGTAGTATGCCCTGAAACTTTAATAAACATTTCAAATTTTCTTCCAAGGTAGACCTTTTATTACTTGACATTTAAAAAAAAAATATTAAAATCGGTTTACAACTTCAAATTTTAGGGGGGTTTTTCCATTAAAAATGGGTCACACTTTATGTGTATTGCATTGGTAGCATCTGACTCTGTGTTCTGTTTTATTTGTATTTTGTAGGGTGTATTAAACACAAACCTGGGTACAATTGCATCACTGGTTGCCTGCAGCAGAGGTTGCGCAGTGAGTGCTTCTCGCCAGAGGGGACAGACCTGTAATTAATTCCATTGCCGCGGTTGGTGTCATTCTCATGGCTCCTGTGATATTTAAACAAGTCAGTCGTTGTATTTGATATAATTTTTGGATGGCCATTGCTTGTAGAACTTTCGGGGGGGATCAATCCCTCTTGATCCCCCTCTGGCTACGGCCTTGTTCCGGAGAGGTGCATTACATGCCCAAAGTTCAGGTGAAAATCACCTTGTTTTCCATGTGGACCTACGAATTTGTAGGCAGGTATGGTAGATACATGACGGAAAGACAATAACTAACCCAGCTAATGTCGCGCAGAAAGCTAAAGTAAAACTATCAGGCACCTGTGCAACGTCTTCCATTTGGAAGATTCGTCGCAAGTTACTTCCTGCATATGAAAAGCAGAAATTAATTTCACTTGGTCGGTACGACCAACCGATAGACCGGTTTCGGGATATTGCTCCATCGTCACGACCAAACAAAATCAATTCCAGATAGTCATAAACTCTATCTGCAGTTGATTCAGTAGGATGTCCACTGTGCCATCTGCAGACAAAGCCAGGAAACATCTCCACGAACACATGCTCCGCGGTAGGAGTCAGAATAATGAAGACATTGCCTCTCATGTAGACCTAGGTTTTTGTAGGTATGTGTGGTAGATACACGACGGTATGCATAGGCAGGAAGAAACATAAAACATGGTCACATGTCTCCGAAGTGCAATTCTAACTCAAACTTCATCTTAGTAATGGAACATAGGGAAAATGAACAGGCAGAAGGTCACAAATAAAACCATTGCCACAGGCGGCAAACAAGGCGCTCAGCTCATTTCAAGTCTACTCGAGTCTCAAGGAGCTAAGTACCCAAAATAGGGTCATTCTAGCTTGGGTACCCCATGAGGGTCACAAGAGCAATGAGGAGGCCGATGTTCTAGGCCATGGGCCAGCTCCCCAACAATCATCATTAAGTGGGTATTACTCAAATACATATTTCACAGTCGAATCGACAAATCATTATAAGTGGATGAAGAGTCGTTACGAGAACATGTTTGGAGGAAACACCTGAAAAACAAATGGGTAGAAAACCAGACACTGGATGAGAGCTGGAAAATATGATGTTAAAATAATAGGTGCATTTCAGCCACTATCTTGGTCAATACTTGTACTACCCAAAAATGGTGTGGAATATTTCTTGGAAGCTGAGGTATTAAGTATATTAACATAGCGGATCTAATTATAGTGCCATTCAGAATCGGTGCAGATTGATTATTCATTCTGCAATGTTGATAACCATAAGATATAAAACATTTCATCAGATAAACAGACATAAACTCTTGGAATTTCGGATTTATGGGACAGATTTCTATAAACTTTCCTAAGAACACATTGTTTATTGCCCAGTTCGTAAAAGATGCTTTCATCTACGCATCAATATATTGAAAATTTTTCATATGAATGTTATGAAACTCGACACGCCTGTTTACATCCTGAAGAAAATGGGTGGCTATCAATAAGTGGATTCAAATTTAGATTTTGCGTATGCCCTGCATACTCATTACTATCATTAGTAAATATAAATTTTGATTTATTGAATTAGCGTCTTGGAATATGTAATTTAAATGGATTCACTATTTTAATTCGTATTTGATGATGATTGTTTTCAAGTAATCAATCAATAGTTTGAAGTGCCAATTTTTGCGATAATGTACGTGTTCGCTTGATGAACATTTATAATAGAATTACAGAATACAACTGTGGAATTCCCCCTATACAGGGTGATTCAAACGTACTTTGACAAACTTCAGGAGGTCATTCCTCACAATATTCTAATATGAATTGTCCAAATAAATAAATGTCCGGAAACGCTTCGTTTCCAAGATACAGGATGTAGAAGTTTTATTTTTATTTTCGTTTTTTTCAATACTGAAATACTGAACTTAATTAAACGAAACTTGGTAATAGGAAGTTTTTGAGATGTCGAATTCGAACCTGATGTTCTTATTGCTCTTACTCGTAGGGGGCGCCACCTACCCGTCTTTTTCTTTTTAAAGATTCATACTTTTTTGGGCGTACTTCTAGCATATTTTTCAGTAAAAAAATCGATTCCTCTATCATATCTACGTAAATAAGCTACCCTTGTTACTAGTCGCTGTAAGCAACCGTTTTCTAAATATTTGGACTTGAAAACTTCAAGTCGATTATTTGATAATCGATGCATGTTGAAGTTATTAC